CGCAGTGCTCCATTATGCTTTCAGACGCATTTAAAAAAAGAAAGTTAAAAACAAGCTCCGTTTCTCAAACGCTCTATTGAGAATATATTACGCTTTCGACCTTATGAAAATACTTCGTTCCTTAAAACATAACTGACCAATGTGCACGCCTTCTAATCCAATCTTCCCTCATCCTCCGATTGCCCCATCCCCCTCCCCGATCAAGCGCTAAACTTTGAACCATGTGAGGTTGAACTTGGCGGCGAAACAAGTTTAATTCGACGCGCTGAAGCACGCATGTTGACAGCGGCTTGGCATAATAATGCGGGAGTACTGCGAAAACTGTGCCCTCCTAGTGCTAACTACTAAGTAGGAATAATGAATGCTTGGAGTTGGGCTAGTTGGTTTGACATTGATGGTATGCTGCGCTGCGTAGTTACGCGGAAAAAAAACTGGAGAAATGAAGTTAATGCAGAAGGACAGACAAAAACATGCATGAATTGGCGCAGACTAACAACTGTTTAATTTCTTCCTCTTTTTTCTCCCCCGACCCGTATTTCCAAAATTGCGGCTAATAAAACGAATGGTTGATGTCTTGAATTTGTTGGCTTCTGAACTTGATGGTGTTTGCTGTAGCTGCCTCTTTCATAGACGAACTGGATGGTGTGTTTTTTGTAGCGTTTACCTGGGGCCTGATGTTTGCTCCGACAAGTTTGGTATCTTATTGAGTAGATCTATTTCTTCTTGTCGCAAAGCTAGTGATGGCTCACTGACGCACGCTCCGTGTCTACCCGAGGCCATGTGAAAAGCCTCGATTATTTCACGCTCCGTTCTGTCCTTTGATCTGGCCAAGATGGAAGTAGTGTCAAGGAGAGCTTTGCAGTTACATTTTGAACAATGCGCTGCAAGGTTGCCAGGTGCTTGCAGTTGTCCGAATGCATGGTTGTGCTCCCTTAGTCTCTCGTTAAGGCATCTCCCAGTCTGCCCGACGTAGGATCTTCCACACGACAGTGGTATTTTGTATACCACACCTTCGACACATTCAACAAATTTGCTCCTGTGTTTCACTCGACACAGTGCCTTGCTGTTAGTCTCGTCCACTTCATTGTTGACCTCCCTGCATAATCCTTTGAGCCTGAAAGGGGCAGATAGTGACACTCTGACTTCGTACCTTGCGGCGATGTTTTTTATCCTGTGTGAAAAATTGTGTATATATGGCAGTACCACCTGTACATGGCAAAAGGAAATAGAGAACTACAGGGGTTTTTCCAGAAAAATGAAGTCAGCAAGTGCTTTAGATATGTAGACGATTTTTTCGTGTGTTTTCCAATACACAAACTAACAGACAAGGTATGTTCAAAGATCATGGAGAAGTTTCGAGAAGCGCGCAGAGGACTGGATTTTACTTTTGAGTTACCTGAGAAAAGCAGCCTTCAGTTCTTGGACATCCACATGACTTTTGATTACAGACGCACATGCTGGATGTACAAAACTAGAGGAAAAAAACGAATTCTGCCGTATGACTCTGGACACACAAAGTTAGTAAAGAGGAGTGTTGCCTCAGGATGCATGTGGCGAGCAATTCAAAAATCGTGTCACCAAAAAGTCTCAGAAAGTTTACAGAGGCAGACAAGCAGACTACACGCAAGCGATTATCCTGAACCCATACTGGTAGCTGTCGCAGAAAAATGTATTTCTACACTCACAGGAAAGTGCAAAACCAAGGAGAAGATCTTGGACAAAAGACTAATGGTGGTACTGCCATATATACACAATTTTTCACACAGGATAAAAAACATCGCCGCAAGGTACGAAGTCAGAGTGTCACTATCTGCCCCTTTCAGGCTCAAAGGATTATGCAGGAAGGTCAACAATGAAGTGGACGAGACTAACAGCAAGGCACTGTGTCAAGTGAAACACAGGAGCAAATTTGTTGAATGTGTCGAAGGTGTGGTATACAAAATACCACTGTCGTGTGGAAGATCCTACGTCGGGCAGACTGGGAGATGCCTTAACGAGAGACTAAGGGAGCACAACCATGCATGCGGACAACTGCAAGCACCTGGCAACCTTGCAGCGCATTGTTCAAAATGCAACTGCAAAGCTCTCCTTGACACTACTTCCATCTTGGCCAGATCAAAGAACAGAAGAAAGCGTGAAATAATCGAGGCTTTTGACATGGCCTCGGGTAGACACGGAGCGTGCGTCAGTGAGCCATCACTAGCTTTGCGACAAGAAGAAATAGATCTACTCAATAAGATACCAAACTTGTCGGAGCAAACATCAGGCCCCAGGTAAACGCTACAAAAACACACCATCCAGTTCGTATATCAAAGAGGCAGCTACAGCAAACACCATCAAGTTCAGAAGCCAACAAATTCAAGACATCAACCATTCGTTTTCTTAGCCGCAATTTTGGAAATACGGGTCGGGGGTGAAAGAAGAGAAAGAAATTAAACAGTTGTTAGTCTGCGCCAATTCATGCATGTTTTTGTCTGTCCTTCTGCATTAACTTCATTTCTCCAGTTTTTTTTCGCGTAACTACGCAGCGCAGCATACCATCAATACTAAGTAGGGTCGGGCAGTATGCCGCCCCGAATCAGGAACTATAAAAGGCCTAGCTTTATGCAGCTGGGAAGACGAGACGCTACACGCTGGGCATCCCGAACTTGGAATATACGACACCCTTAGAGATAGTAAAATAACACTGCGTTAGGAACAACTTAACGCATACGTACCTTGGAAAACAAAGCCGTCTACGCACCGCTGAACGCCTCTGACGACGCGATAACAACGTTGAACTCGCCTTCCGAAGGGCAGCAGCGCTCCGCAGCTCACGGGCCCACGCCGGCCGGCAGCGGCTTGCGCATGCGCGGGTGAGAGATGTCTTCCTGCGCCCGGCGTAACACGGCTCACGGGCACTCTACTTTTGCGGTCTGATAGAGTTCCATAAAAATTGCTGGATATCCGGCACTTTTGGGCGCGTTCAATTCGCTTATACCAGTTGAACCGACTATGAACTGTAGTCTTGTAAGGCTTTTTTTATTTATACGGATAAGCTCATACTTATTGCCTAAATAGCGCATTTCAATGCATATGGTACAATTCCCGTTTTTGAAAGCAAACAGCACATTGTATGCATGTCCAGAAAACGGGACATGTTCTATTCGATTTTTCCACGTAGATTGATGGAATTTTCTAACAGTGAAGCGATATAATTCAAAATTGTTTGATAGACACTAAACGGTCGTTTCGGGGAGTGGAGCTAAATTTAGCAGGTAAACTGATGGTGCATGGGTCGTGTGCCGTCAATTTCCCACTAAGATTAGCGGGAAACGCAGACGGAAATATGGACGGGCAACATTTTGGGATGGAGGGTTCCGTTGAAAAGCGTTAATATAACGCAGGAAAGCTGAAGTAATTAACTTATCGGAAAGCCAGTAGAGGGAGGCAAGGAGAAGAGGAGCGAATCTGAGGGTATAATCGCGTGTGCGAGGAAACTCCGCCCTCGTAACTGTTCCTGTGTTAGGAGAGAAGTGTCGGGTGTGCTTTTGTCGTTCGTTGGAATACGCCTGGAAGCTGTTAGTCAACAAAAAAAAAAAAGTATCCTTCGAGGTATTTCCCCTCCCCTTTCTCGAGGGCCAAGCCCAGGTCTGTTAAGAACCGGTGGGTTTCTGAAAGCCGTGGAAAAGGTAGGACGGCCATTGAGAAGTTGTAGACGACGTTGGCGTTCGGCGTTCGAACGGCAAACACTGACTCCACTGCTCCCTCCACGCGGAGAACGACGGTCTTGCTCGCTCTGGTTGGAGGGACACAGAGGCAGCTAGCATTCGCGTCACTATCCTTCCAAACTAATCACGCCTCGAGTTCGCGTCTGTGGTTTAAAATTCTGTAACGATGTTACTAGTAATCTTATTGAAAACGTTCAGCGTGAGTTTATAAGAATTTTATACGATCGATATATTGGCCACCGCCGTTTCTACAATTACCATTCCCTGCTCACTGACCTCGGTCTAGTGCCTCTGCACGATATACTAATTGCAACAGACATGCATTTCCTGCGTCAAATTGTGCATGATCATCTTGATTGCGCCCCGCTGCTGATGTCGCTGAGGTTCCGGATACCGTTAGGGAGGACATCAAAATGCAGAGTTGCGTTTCATCCTGATGTGCGGGCCACTTGCCCAGTGACACGTCTGCAACGGACTCACGATGCCTTTTTTGGTGAAACAGACATTTTCACCTGATTGTGTTTTTATCCCCTACTTTTATGTATCTGTGTACAGGACAGTGCATTGCTGCTCAGGCCACTTGTCTGTTTGCAGGTACGCAAATAAACCCCGTCTATCTAAGCACGGCGCTTCTCGTGCAGAGGGCCTGGTGACTTCAGACTGCCAAGCTCCGATTGGAAAGTTAGTCGGTAGACTCAAAGGCTAGCTGTCATTGTCTCACCCGCTGTCTTTCCCTATTAGTCTGGGCGAGTAGGACCGTCGTCTGTTCTTTGAGTGGAGGAAGCAGTGGCATCACCGTCTGTCGTTCGAACGCCTAACGTCATCGTCGTCTGCCTGTCCTGTCTTACCTCTTCTACAGCTTTCGAACAAACGAGGATTTAGCCTTCTAGAAAGGGGAGAGGGAATATGTCGTCTGCTCCGGACCAAGCAGCAGTCGTGAGAGCTGAGTTTTGTTCTGCGCGCGTCATCACTTCCTCAAACCACTCCCCCCCCCCCCCCCCCCCCCCCCACTCCTCCCCCACAACTCGTCCTCTCCGTCCCTTGCTCTCCGCGTAGTTTTTAACGTGATTTCGCGGAAGACTGAAGTCGCAGTCACATCGTTCATACATCGTACAAAAGACACGCTATCTGCTACAGGAACAATGACAGAAATATCTCGGGACACACCTCCCGCATGTTCGAAGCACGTCTGCGTCATGCACATGCATGCTTCGGCTAACATGTCTGCAGGCTGTCATTTCTGTTATGTATTAGTAACGGGACCGAGGCCATAACGCGTACGCTGCTTACCCGGTCTTGGCGAAATTGGCCCAGTAGTTCATCATCCGGCGGCTCAGTCTCCGTTCGTCCTCTTCGTACGGGAGACTCAGCGACGAGTTCAGGGGAACGCCGAACTCGAAAGCAATCTCGTCACCGTGCATGACTCCGGTCCACTCGGGCCAGGGGTTTCCGGTCGAGCGGTGCTTGAAGTAGTACTGGAACACCGGGATGTCGATGTCGGCGGATCGGTTGGCCCAATCAACCACCGGACACGTGAAGTGGTAGTCGCCCATAATTTTGTCCAAAGCGTATCTGTAATCCGACGAGTCTCCTTCGATGTAGAGGGCCTCGACGGCTTGTAACGTTGAATTGTCCACGCCTGGAAGAAGCATCCTCAGTGTTTCCGTAAAATTATCTCCTTTTGTGGGCTTAGTTTCATTCAGCCACGGCAGGTAATAGATGAGAAAAAAACTGGCCTCTTCTCGATTCGAACCGAGCAGAACGGGTTTTTTCTCGAGCGTCTCGTTTCTGAAATATTGTTCTACGACGTCTTTTACGCTGCCCTCTTCCACAACCGGGGTGAACGGAAACTCCAAAAAGTTGTTGACGAAGTTCCACTCGTTGCTCACAATGTTCTCCGCTGTCTCGTTCATCAAACACAGCCAAATCATTGTCGTGTTGTTTTCAATGTCACCCGGGCACTTAAGAGATTTTGCCAGGTTTTTGGCCGTCTCGAGTAACGTGTCCGCTTTCTTGAAGGCCCAGGGAGCCATCGGTGCTCCGCTCTGCATGATGGCGTTGCTAAACATGCTTCTGGAGGTAGCCGATAATAGGTGCCAACTCACGCTCACGGCTCCGGCACTCTCCCCGAACAGCGTCACCCTGCCGGGATCCCCTCCGAAGTGTTCAATGTTGCGCTGAATCCATTCCAAGGCCATGCTCTGGTCCAAGAGTCCCATGTTTCCGGGTGCTCGTTCGTCCCCTAGATACAGAAACCCCAAGGACGCGACGCGGTAGTTCATGGAGACGACGACGACCTCTTCTTCAGCCGCGAGTGTTCGCGCGTCGTACACGTCCAGAGTCGAGGTGCCGCTGTAGAATCCTCCGCCGTAGATCCACACCATCACCGCCGCCTTGGTCGGCCGTGGATCGGGCGTCCAGACGTTCAGCGCGAGGCAGTCTTCGCTCATCGGAGTGTTGGCGTTCCACATTGTGCTCCCGGAGAAGTTACCGAAGGTCTCGTCGAGAATCTGCACGCAAGAGTTCGGCATCACGGTGGCGTCGAAGATACCGGTCCAGTTTTGTTTCGGTCGGGGTAGGCGGAAGCGGTACGAGCCATTGGGCGGCTCGGCGTAAGGGATACCGTAGAATACTTGTACGGATCTGCCGCAAGATGACGCCGAACGAAATCCCTTCACCTGGCCGTTCGTGGTTGTAACGAGGAAAGAATCGTCTTGCGACTCTCGATTCGCATTTACGACGAAATGCAGAAGCGAATTGGTGGAATAAAACAAAAGCAGCAGTGAGCCGGTATTATGTGTACGTCCCATAGCGTACCTGCGAATGAAAAGACAATGTTCGGCGCATGAAACGCAAATGAAATATATTATACTATGAAACGCAAATAAAATATAAAACGCATTTTTTTTATCAAATTGCTATACATAATGCAAAGGCCACGGCATTCATTAGATACCTTATCACATGGGGCAGTAGAGCTTTGTAATAGTTTTAGTGATTTTTTAGCTTTGTAATCACTAGTGAATCTCTACCATTACCTCGGAAGTTTACTTGATTAAGATATCCTGCATCCCATGGAGCCAATCGTTGTCATTCCTCACGGTATTGCTGCCGCGATATGAAAACTTGTCCAATGTTCAGCACCAGGTCCCGACAGTCACCTCCAGCACACTACAGCTATGTAAAGCGCGGTCCAAACCAACGCGTCTTTGTGCGCGCGTAGGTCGTGCGCTTCCCGGAAACTGCGTATTTCGTGACGTCGCGCTGATTCCTTGCGCCTTCCGGGCGCACGTCCTCTGACCTCAATTCAGCAGAGCGCGCCCTCCTCGCCGCCAGAGCTACTCGGGATCCCTTTCTGTCGATCACAACTGCTGGGTTCAGAGCGCTCTGACATTCTCAAACCAGTCACGAACCTCGTTTACATGAAAGCGACTTCAGCGCATCGACTCCACTCGTTCTTCGAACGAAGCCGACGCGGCAACGTTTACATGAGTGCGCACCAAGCCGTACACGAATGTGGCGTCACGCCGTGTCAAAGCTCGAAGTTATGCAGTTTTGGCACCAGCCGCCCCACGTTTTCCGGTGCATCGCACGTGGAGGCCTTTCAACGCGTTCAGTGAACTTGAAGATCGTGGCCGTTGTCTTCGGTGCTGTGGAAGAAGTTACGAGACGGAAGAAATATCAAAACCCAAGCGTTTAGGACTCCAGGCCGGATCACTCTGGACCAGAGGCGACTTGTGTGCGCACGCTTTGAGGGAGCCTCCGCGCTTCGCCGCGCCAGACCTCGCCGATCGCGACTGAACCAACCGGACCCCGAGTCCGAAAGGCTCCCGCGCAGCCAGGAACAGCACCGAGGTAGGAGCTGCTCGTTCTGCGCTACCATGCAGTACTCTACAGTGCTCGGAGCTCTCGGTGTCGTTCGTGCTTGCGCCGAAGCCTTTGGGACCACTTCGGACGCGCAAGTCGTACTTCGCAAGGCTTGAATGGGGGCCGCCCTCACCGAGAAGCTCCCCTATATTCCGCTTACTTATGATGGCAATAAAAGCTCGCGTTTGTTCTTGGGAAAAAATTGCGGGTTACCATACGGGACCGCTCTCCGCGCCGCTGACGAGGTTGGCCGCCGCCATGTTCTCAGCTGTTTACTCGCTCCCGCGGCGAGCGCCTTCCCCTAATCCTCCCCGTTCCAAAATGCGATGCGACCTCCGTTTACATGGGCTGAATGAATGCGCCCTCGCCATCTCGGTCCATCTCTGTCGAGCGACTTGAATGCGATGCACTTTCTTTGCGCATTATGTCGTTTACATGACCGCATTGAATGCGACAACTGGATTCGATGCGACTAAGTCGCATTCATGTAAACGCGGCTACGGAAGGAAAACTCCTTGACATAGGTAATGCATTTAAAAAAATATATAATTTTATTGCGTAATGTGGACTGAGAAAAATATACGCTCGCAACATGATGAATACCGGTTATGACGTAAATTGTTTTACGTATCGCCATGTAAAAAGAAAACAGCAGTATGCGAATTTATTTTCGCAGAACGAAACGAAAGCTGATGCTTGGAAAGAATTGTCAACTCATCGCGTTTTCGACAGTGAACGCGCTGCGATAGCGGTCATGCCTACGGCAGAGCAGGCAAAAATAAAATGGTTAATAAACCGCATTTTTCTCACGGCGAAATATCGTGCAAGCAGGATAAAACACATATTGCCATGTGACACAAATCACAGTGCTTTATATTCGGCTCTCCCTTTATTTTACAGCACAATCCTTTGAACCAACTTTTACCAAACGTGAAACATTCTTGAAGCGACCACAAAACCCGGTAAAACAGCGGCGAGCCCTGCGAGCCCTTTCTTCGTCGGTTAGGCTTAGGGGATTCACCGCCGTGATATGACCGATCTCGTGAAAGCACTGGGAATACTTCACACGTCGACTTTTCCCGTGACGGTCACAAACAAATGTCGTCCCGTCCGTTGTAATCTTCGCATCGTCGAACGCACAAGCATTTTGTAGAACCACATATCAATCGCCGCCGTCATGCCAGACCCCGCACGCCCTCACAGACCACTGCCGGCCATCGTCAAACAAAACCACGCGATCCCCGTGTACGACGTGACGCCTGCGCCGCTTCGCACTCCGACGGCTACAGACGGAGTGCTAGGGAGCGCTCTGAGAGGGAGAGGCGCCCTGGGAATGAACCAGCCGATCAGGCCATAGCACTCTCTTTCCACCACCCGATTTCGCGCGCTCTGGAAAGAGCGCTTGAGGGCGCGCAGAAAGAATCACGCGAATTCGCCATCAGAAAGCGCACCGAAAACAGCAAAAACGTCACGAAATACGCAATTTCGGGGAAGGGCACGACTTTCGCGCGCACAAAAACGCGTTGGTTTGGATCGCGCTTAAAGGGGTATTCACACGAGGGAGAAATCCCGGGGATTTCTCCCTCGTGTGAATACCTTTTAAAGAGCTAGTTTGTACTTCATCGGTTAAGGTCTTTCAGCTCTCTTTATAAACTGGTGTCGTTCCGGCAGACTGAAAAACTCCAAACGTCCTTCCCATATTTAAGCGAGCGTCAGAGGAAAGCTTATGCTATCTACCATCGCTTATCTTAAAAGTGTACCCTGTGAGATTTAGAACTTGCTCTTCTTTTTCAAATGGTATTACCCACCTGTGTGGAAAGAATTATGTGTGACCTAGCACGGTTTCCGGTGTACGTAGAAAATCACTTCAGTGTCCAGTTAAATAAAGATTACTTTTTAATTAAAAATAATAGATTCCTCGACAGACATCGTGCATGAACTGTGGTAATTTTTAATTATATTCCACTGCGGTTTGAATAACCTTTGATAGACGTAATTATACCTTTAACGGCAATTGCCTCCTGACCGACGTCATTTTACAAAACGAGGTAACGTTATTTTTTATGTTATTTTATTTCATGATGCTACACGTGATGCACATAAGCCCTCATGAGCTAAGGCTCATTCGGAACTGACTAGCCATTACATTCCTATAAATCTATGGTGAACAGATCATAACAAAAATATTGTCTGAACGAACAAAACAATCAATCCCTTATGCAGAGATATGTTTCTGAAATTCACTAAAACTGGACAAGGAAAAAATATGCTTGTGTTTACGTTATCGTAATTACATACCGGAGTAGAGATTAATCAAACCACATCACTCGACACTTAATTATCTGTGTTCCGGTCTACCAGACATTCAACACTACCAGAGCGTGCATAGAGATGATGATCGTGATTAAGATTTTATTGGTTCAATGACTACAAAGACCATATTGCGCCAATTCAAATTTATTTAGAATACTCTAAAGAAAAAAATTAAATAAAATGTTCATGATAGTGGGATAAAAATTATAACTGGTGCAAATAAATAAAAATAGCCAGCCTTTTTTTTTTTTTTTTTTTTGAATGTGCGAAACACGGCCAAACGGCTCTAAGGTGCAGTCACCAAGTAAAAGCGTAGGATGAAAGAAAAGGCGATCTATAAAAGTTCCGGAAAGCTATATCGGCGTGGTTGGTGGTGAAATAAGCTATGTCATACAACATCTGCAACACTGTTAGCCTTTTCCTCACAATGAGCACACAGCTTTACACCTTCGCCACAAAAAACGCGCAGGTTTGTCAAGCCTGAATGGCCAAGAGCAATCCTCATGTGGCGATGCAGAACCTCGACACGGCGTTCCTAGGGGAACGATCTCTCCCGCAATGCCAAGATACGCTTGATGGCATGAAGTTTATTGCCACATTTTATGTCCCACTTCATGACCTGAAAAGTGATTTCTTCAACAGCGGTTTTAGATCTCGGGGGAGGGGGGGAGGGGGAGAGAGGGAGGGCGAGAGTGAGTGAGTGAGTGAGTGAGCGAGTGAGTGAGTGAGTGAGTGAGTGAGTGAGTGAGTGAGTGAGAGAGGGAGGGAGTGAGTGCTCACTCACTCACTCACTCACTCACCGCATCTCTCCCTCCCTCCCTCCCTCCCTCACTCACTCACTCACTCACACACTCAAACGCTCAGCAAACAAGCAAGCAAGCAAGCATGCGCGCACGCGCGCGCACGCACGCACGCACGCACGCACGCACGCACGCACACACGCACGCACGCACGCACGCACGCTCGCTCGCGTGCGTGCGTGCATGTGTGTGTGTGTGTGTGTGTGTGTGTGTGTGTGTGTGTGTGTGTGTGTGTGTGTGTGTGTGTGTGTGTGTGTGTGTGTGTGTGTTATACAATGCTACGGTAGAGTCCAAGTTTCAAAAAGGGCGGGATGACGGTTGGAGTTTTCTTAGAAGCGTAGTGAGAGTTAGTGGGCAGTTTTAGAATGGCGCACGCTAAAGCTTTGCGTTTTCAAAGAATAGCGTCGTCGCCAATGCGCATGCGCCGAACGCTAACCACGTTTTGCGCTTTGCGTGCGCTTTTTTTTTCTTTTTTTAAAGTGCGTGCGTACGCAGTTTTTGCGCTCCTCTAAAGGGGATTCGTGATGAGAAGTTGTTTTACTTAAAACTTCGTTATGGAATTATGAAATGGGGGATAACCACTTCCACAAATTATAGCTAAATAATTATTCTCTAGTAAAAGTATTTGCGTATTTTAGAACAATATCAAGGAAATGTTGGTGATTCTTATAGCAGTCTATATTTTACAAAACATGCTTAAAGCAAACCAGATTTATTACTTTAAACTTATGCAGACAATATTCAAAGAAAATCTTTATCAAATGGATGAAGTGCCTTTGCAACCCTATCTTATCAGAAATGCCAAACACAAGACGCCTAAGGTCAGGACC